AGCCATTTACTTTATGGCTAACTCCCAGTCCCGGCGTACCTCTGCCTGGCAGTGAGCATACATTTGAGTGAATAATTTCGGGACCCTGTTTTTCCTCAGGGATTCCCATCAATTATTTAACTTTCTTTTTTTTTTTAAAGATTTTATTTATTTATTTGAGAGAGAGAAACAGCATGAGAGGGGAGAAGGTCAGAGGGAGAAGCAGGCTCCCCACTGAGCCGGGAGCCCGATGTGGGACTCGATCCTGGGACTCCGGGATCATGACCTGAGCCGAAGGCAGTCGCCTAACCAACTGAGCCACCCAGGCGCCCAATTATTTAACTTTCTTAAGTCAATCTTACTCTGAAGGTGAATTGGCTCCCCAGAAACATTTCAGAGTCCAATATGCCATTTAGGGATTTGACAGCTGGAAAGGGGAGGGGCTGAGAGATGAGCTCCCAGGGGACGGGGCTTCGGGGCAGCTGGAGGACTTCCTGTCTGCCGTGTACCTGCTGCTCCCACAGATGTGGACGGTTGGATGTTTCCCAGCGATGCTTTCCTGCTCTGGTCACGATTGTGTCCCCCCACACACCAATGATGCTAGGAACACAGGAGATTCTCAGTACTCAAGGGAGAGGGGACAGAGGAAGGGAGGTGTCCTCTGAGATATTTGAGCATCACACGTTAGTATTGACTGTGAAATTGTAATTGTATGTGTTATGGTTCCTGAGCAGAGGTCTATCATAGATAGATGCCTGTGACCAGCAAACCATGGTTTCCAGACATCCGTCCATGGCCTTTGTATCTGGTTCCCTATGGCCCACCGCTCTATGAAAGCTCCTGATTTCTCAGTTTGCCTTCACATCTTCAGATTTTATATCAAACAAACTTGTCAGAATTCTGCTTATGTGCAATTATTTGATTGAGGGAACGATGCTAAGCTCCATCCATCACTGACAGTAGAGCCCAGTGCAGTCAGCTTGGTGCCTGACCATTTTGTGTCTTGTGTGATTTCTTCTCTTTCGTGTTTCTCAAGTATTGAAGAAGCCCAAATACATTTTCTACCATTTTGCTGCTATTCTGTATTTTTGGTGTGCACGTTAAAAGATGAGAAAGGATGGCACCCAATAATCTTCTGCTTAGTGAAATATTTTGAAAATGGTTAGAAACAGAACTTGTGTAACTTCTTCCCCAGACATTTATGCGGACACCTTTCCCGAGAGGGCCATACCCCACCCACACGACTCCTGCTTGTCCTTCAGAGCCTGGTCACTCTCGCTGCCCCTGCAGGTGCCCCCAGCTCCATTGGGACTGTGCTTGCTTCTGGAACACATTTCTCCTCCCTCGGGCAGAGCTCATCCCATATTGTAACAGGCCTCTCTCAGTGTCTGCCCATGTGATGGGATTCTTATATTTATAGACTAATAATCAGCGAAAATGCTTATTAAATTGCTAACGTTTGGCAATTGATCAGCATGTGCTAGGTTTGGGATAAGGCATTTACATGATTATCTCATTTACTTCTGGAACAACCCTAGGGGAAGAATCTATTCCTCTTTCCTAGATAGTAAAATTGTGTCCTGTTTATTTTAAAATTGGAATGAGGACAAACTCAGAGGATTGTAATATTAACAGCTAATATTTAGAGACTTACTTTGTGCCAGAAATATGTTTTCCTTTATACTTAAGCTGTTTGTGTTTTTAAAATGCTTTTCAAATTAAAAGTTAGCCTATGTTCACTGAGAGCTTCATTTGATACCCCTTGCCCCGACCCATATGTTCACTCCTGTTGCCACACCTCCCTAGGAATAACCTCTGATACAAATCCACTGTTGGTCATTCTAGGCTTTGCTCTGCATTTATAAATGTACAGTGCCAACATATCTTAACCTCGTACGAGCAGCGCACATCACCGGGCACGATGCTGACACACAGTGGGCTCTCTATAGAAGCATGTCTTGGATAAATATTAAAGAATACACTTTCAAAAATGAGAAACCCGTGGACAGTTTTCCTCTTTCTCTTTATTTTTGAATGAGTTTTTTCCATTTTAGCATCTAAGAGTCCCTAGTATCAATAAATGAGGACTTAGTTAAGTCATTCCTCAGTCGACACATAGTCAGGTTACTTGAGCCAGTGAGTAGAGCTCTAGTCTCCCATCATCACATTATCCTGTGTCTGTGAAATCGTCGTGTTGGGATTCCCTATCCTGTTAAGTGCGTGGGCAGGTGAGTGCCTGTGCTGGGATCTCTGAGGCGGGTCACGGTTGTCATGCTCCTTGCTGGTTTGGGAAGAGTTCCCGGTGACAGTGGTGCCCTGGTTCCGTGGCATCCGCAGGCCTGACCCTGCCCCCCCCCATTCAAAGGATGGCTTCGCATTCCACCTCCCGTGGCTCTTACAATGGAGCGTTTCCCCGTGATGAGTGCCAGGAAGCCTCCTGCTGCTTTGAGACTTGGAGGACAGGTGGAAGGAGTGGCCAACGAGTCTGGCTGGCACAGCAGCCCAACACCAGGCTGTCTGAGTCCACCGCCCCCTGCCAGCCTCCCTGCTGCGGATCTGGGCCTGCCATCCCCTTGTCTGTCCGTCGGCCCAGCCCCCAGTGAGCGCCGGCCCGGCCTGGCCGCCTTCTGGCTTGGGAGCCAGCCTGACTGCAGAATCAGTGCTGATGTTCTTCGCCTCCATGGCCTTGGGAAAGTGGCTCCTCTTCCCAGGGATCTTGAAATCGGCCGTGCCAGGAGTCTGGCCGCCGAGCTTGGCCATGGCCAGTGGCCGGAGCTGCTGTGCGCGTGTCAGCTGCTTCCTCCGTGGGCTCTGGGGTGGGGGCTTCCGCGTCTCCTCCTGCAGGTGTTAGTAGCACCCCACCCCGGCACTCACGGAGGCGGGACCAGCGTCCCCCCGGAGGGAAGAGAGTCGCTGCATGTGTGCGTGCTTCCCACCCAGGCCCAGAGCCACCTCTAAAAATACCTGCCGCGAGCTGGAGAAACCCCCACACGTAAAATGCCTATGGATTCACACCAGAGATGCAGCCATTCCGTCTTCTCTGGAAGATTAAAATAGGGTAATGCCTTATGCCAAGGGAAGAGCGGGGTAGGCTTTCACAGTTCATGTTTGGAGCTTGGGGAATAAGCTGATTCTTGCAAGGCTGTGTCTGGTTCAGGTATAGATTATGAGCACAGAAAATCAGGCAGAATTCTCTGTCTTATGTCAATTAGCATAAATTAGTGCAGTCTTCTCCTAATTGAAATGAGACTCCGTGCTAATGATGATGAATTCACAGTGTATCGGGTTTTATTCCCTTGTACATTGTGACTGTGTTTTTAATGGGTGTTTCTCAGGGAAGATGGTCTGGTGTCGATCAGATGCCGTCAGGCCGAGGCCCACAGATGTCCGCACCCCTGTAACGGAGTCTACGGGTGGGAGCGGGGTGGGCATGGAGGTGTGGAAGCTGCTGGAGGGCGTGAAGGCGGCAGCGGATGGCCACCGTCCTGGAACATGGACGGGCACAGACCAGAACTGCCCTTGACGGAGCCCCAGCCCAGCACCGGGCACCACGCTGTGTCGAATACGCGCAACTTCACTCATTCCCAGCCAGGCCCCGCCCGCTCTTGTCGATGAGGTTGGACAGGGAACAAGGCCCAGAAGGGGAAGCGCCAGCCAGGCTCCCAGGCTCATGGCCGCAGGGGAGGAAGCCCACGGAATGGCCAGAACCCCACCACCACCGTCAGGGCCTCAGCCTCCCACTCCCGGGGGAGCTGCTTACCTGCTGGCTCACAGGAGAGACACCCAGCGCTGTCCACACCCCGCTGCTCCCGTGGGGCTCAGTGTCACACTCGTGCGTCAGGACGGGGAGCCTGGGACAGGGCTGAACGCAGGCTGATCACAATGCTGACGTAATGGCGTCTTTGTCCTCACCGTGGCCACTCTTGTCGCCTGATGGGCTGCATCTCCTCCCGCCTCTGCTCAGGGGGCCTCCCCTCCATGGCCACCAAGTGGTCCAGACGCTCTGGAGTTTGGGCCGAGGGACCGGAGCTCCTCCCTTTGCCGTGGCTCCTCCCTGCACCCCAGAAAACTCGGATGCGGTCCCTTGTGCCTTCAGACCAGACACTATGAGTGCCTCGCTGCTCCCCTTTTCCTCATCGGTGCATCTTCTTCAACGAGTGCGGCTCTGCGGCCCCTCTGCTGTGTCTCCTTCAGCCTGCAGTCACCTCAGCCAGGGCTGGCCTCTCCACGAGGAAGGGCGTCGCACAGATTTCTGCTTACGTGAACTAGCATGGCACCAAGCACGTCAGCGGGTCCAAACTCCCTTGAGCGGATCAAAGGGAATTTGAAGCGGGACGTTAGTGCACTGATACTCTGAGGACCGACGGTTATTACATGCACAGCCCTGTGCTTGGTGTCTGGCTGGAGGTCCACTGCCGGGGACGCCTCCTTTGGTCCTCAGACGTGTTATTACTGCGGGGCCGTGCACTTTCCTCCCACTACCATTGGGTAAGTACTGATTCACGTCCAGCAGCTCACCTTTCTGTGAAACTGCTTCCATGTGTTTTAGGCAAATAAATGGTGGGAATGTGTACGTTCACAGTGCTTTGCCTGATGTCTGGTAGCGTCCCCAACCTTGAGCGGGCATCTGTCCTTGGGCTTCAGCACAGAGTGAACCTGGGAGCCCGGGTGTCAGCTGCAGTGCACTCAGGGAGGGAAGACTCCAGTGTGGACAGTTAAAGAGTTCAGAGGAAACGTCCTCATCATGAGGTCAGCAGGCCGCCATTAACATCGGTCACTGGTCTGGGTTTAAAGGCCATCTGGGAATATCTTCCTGATTGTGAGGATGACCATATCTGTGATCCATGTAAATTGGGAAATAGCACTTTGATCCAGCTGCCCTCCATGCGCCAGGCGGTTGGTTCCCTCACCGAAATCTTCACTTCTTCTGCACTCCAGACTCCAAGCATGTGGAGTTTCGGGTGCTCCTGGGGTCATTCACCTCATGGCAGAGTTGGGCTTCCCGAGGATGCTCCCCGAGGATGCGCGTGCTGCGGAGGACGGGAAAACCTTCCCAGATCATCCCTGCAGCTCAGGCAGAAGGCTCCCATGGACCTTTCCAGGAAATACAGAGTGAGTCACTTTGTGTCCTGGGCTCAGAATACAGAGAATGACAGTTTCTCACCTATGATCTTGCTGGAAATAATTTAAGGATAAGGCCTGGAAGCATTAATGGTGGACTCTGGAATGGCATTTGCCTAAGACTTGGACTCTGGAGAAGTTAATATGCCAGGGGCCAAACTGACGCCTTTCCTCAGGCTCCTGGTGACCTTCAACCCACAGAATTTCAGCTCTCTGAGGGTATCAGTTCCTGCGCTCTTGGTGTTATTGTGCAATCGCTGTGCTTTGAACTTTGTGGATGATTCCAAACATATCCAACCTGTGATCGGGATTAGATGTATGGAGAAAGTCCTACGTTTGTGGGTCGCTTTTAGTGCAAATTCAGGTTAGCACTTCACAATGAGTGGTGAAAACCAGTTTCTGATTTACCTCCTGCTCCAACAGCCCTTGTAGGGGCGGGAGGGGTAGTGGTCTTGGCTGAGGGTGGACTTACAGGTAAATCCGGTTCTCCTAAGTGCATGGCTCTGAAGTCATGGCCGCCCTGGGTCCCAGGTGGCCCCCTCTCCTAGTCCCCCTCTCCAGCTCTGTGGTCCACTGGGGAGCCCTGAGCTGTCACCTCTTTCTTCCCCGTAGACACATGTGCCTCCCAAAGTCCCCAGGAGGAGTTCCGTTTCTGCTCTGTCCTGTCATCGTGAGGAGAGCTGGGGCCAGGGGACATCAGGCTCCTCTTCTATTGTGTGGCCTCCTGCAGGTCCCTTAATGCCAGCCGCGGCCGTGGCCGTATCCACAGAGGAGGTGGCAAGGGGTTTCCACCATTACCTGGAGCATGCTCAGCATCGTATCCATAGTGAGCCATGGAGAAGGTAGAGAGTGCTGTGCCTTCTGAAACCCAGACCAGCCCAGGGGAACTTGGAAACTGGAGTGAAGTTCCTGGGATGTCGCTCTGTACCTGAGCAAGAGATCCTCATTTCCCGTCTCCTACAGACCCTCACTCGGGGGTGGAGTGTGTGTGTATAGCTTTTACCTGTGCACTGGTCGCGGGCGCCCTCTACGAATGTTGCAGGGATGCCACTTTGGTGGGTGCCCGGCCCCAGGCCTCCGTCCTGGAACACATCTGTGTGCTTCCTAGACTGTGGTCTGGCATGGTGGCAGAGGGAGCCAGCCCCGTGCACGCGGTCACGCTGTCTCCTTCGAAGTCTCTGACTCCCCCGTGTTCTGGACTCACCCGCTTGCGATGCAGAGTAGTTCAGCTCTGGGCTCCCCTCAGCACATCAGGAGGTGGATGTGCTGTCCGTCTTGCCCCACAGCCAGAGTGGACACGGCACCTCATGGCCTGTCTGTGTGGGGGGGTGGGGGCAGTGCAGCTATTTACCACCCCTGATACAAACAGCCTGGTCTCCAAGAAGTCAGAAGAGTTCTGAGTCCAGTTTGCTTTAAAGGACAATTCCGCCTTCTCTGGCATGTCCGTCAAGCCCCTCTCTCCCTCATCACCTCTGCCCGCAAACACACATGCACCTGCTGGGTTGGGTGCGAGCATGGACGTACGGACTCCCCGCCTGTCCCCGACCGGCCCCTCCTGGCTACCAAGGCAGTCCCACCAAAGAATATCTAACACTGCCCGCCTCCCCCTCAGAAACCATCCTTGGCTTCTGATTTTATATTAAAAATAAATCTCAGCTCCTCTATGATTTTCGGTTTCCTTCCCAAACTGTCTGCGATGTACCCCCCACTGCGTCAGACATTGGCTCCGCCAGCCCCGTCCTCCAGGCAGACTCCTCCCTCGTCCCTGGCTGTCTGCCTTCTTCCATGCCCGTGCTCTGACTGTGGTGCTGCTGCCCTATCTTTCTCTCTAGTGAAAGCCCTACTTGTCCTTCAGGACTCAGTCCGGATGCTGTCTCTTCTGTGAGCCCTTCGCTGCTTCTTGGGGCTGGGGGAGAAGGAGGCTGGCGTCTCCCCGAGTGCCCGGTGCTGGCCGCCTGGTGGGCTGCTTGAACCACTTGTCACTCAGCCTCCTGTCCCCACATGGAGGATGCCAGTGTCCCCATTCTAGAGCCCCAGGGGCAAGGTGCCTGCCCAGAGTGACCTGGCCCCAAAATCTGCTTCTTTCCCACGAAGAACGCAAATCTTGGAAACAATTGCTCTTGTGTTTATTGTTGTAATTTCCCGACGTGACTGTGAATGCCGTGACCCCCGAACATCTTGGTCTGTCTTGCAGAGTCTGACAGAGGGATGGGTCTGCGTCCTGAGGATGGTCAGTGATTATAGGCTTAGTGTTTGTACTGAAGGAGAATATCCTTTTGCTCATGACTATTTGTGCCTAAAGCAGATATAACAGAGTTGTAATCAAAGTAAAGACTTAGATACTAAATTAGGTGATAAAATACACCATTTATTTCAGCTAAGTAATTTGTGTTGAGCCATACATAGTCATGAAAACATATTTAATGTGTGCATGTGCCTGTGACAGACAGCGTTAGTTTACTGAAATGTAATGTAGGAAGTATTTGCTAGGTGGTTTCTTTACAGAGACATTTGCTCAGACGTGGGGTTGGCTGGCCGAGTACTGAGAGGGCCACCTGTGTCTGTGGGGCCAGTGGACGCCGCTGGATGATGCCCCAGTCCCTCCGGCGGCCGGTGTGAAGTGTGCGCCTGCAGCCTGAGACCCCTTAGTAATGGCCTCTCTCTCTTCTGTTTGCAGAGTCCCAGTGCACCCTCTGCGGGGAGCCGGAAGGTGAGTGTGCTTCACCTTATCACCCCTGCCTCCGGTGGGCATGGCGGGGGCACCGCAGTGACCGACGGCGGTACGCGTGTCCAAGTGCGCGCTCTCCACGGTGTTTGATGGAAACTGGGTAAAATCATCAGCATGGTGTGCAGGATGAGCTTTAGGCAAGAGGAGGTAATCTCTAAAGGAAAATTGAATCACAACCAAATTACAACACTTTCCTTTTTGTTTTGGATTTAGAAATTTTGATCAGGCTTCTCCAGGTAATAAATGCCGACATTAGAAATATGTATTTCTTGGCTTTAAATACATTAGTGAAAAGTGCTGATGAGCCTCATATGAAATGAGACCTTGGAAAACCATTCCGTATTGATGAGTAAATCTGAGAGGTGCAGCAGGAACTGTGCTGGTAATCAGTGACATTAAACAATGCACGATAATTCAAATTTCCTGCGTCTGAGATACTTTTAGAAGTAGAGCTCCTGAATGTGTGATTTAACTATGTTCCAAAATAGTTAAAGCCAAAATCTGTCCTATTTCTCAGAGTCACAACAGAAAAGAATAAAGGGAATGTGGTTAGCACGTGACCTCCATTAACGGGGGCTCAGAATTCACCAGAGTTTTGATTTTCAGGGTCAGAGCAGCTGGTTTGGGGCCTCACCGCAGTGTGGAGTGATGGCCTCTGGAGGCCAGGGTCCCAAAACGCCTGAATATGCATGACTAGTGTGTGCACCATGCCACGCGAACGTCATCATATTCACTGCAAAGATTTGTACCCATGAGATGAAAGAGAAAGGTGACTATCGGGTTAACTTAGAAATTCCATCAAACACTCTGTGGCTTCCATTTTGTGGTTGAGATACGACTAAGTCTTCAAACTTCTCGCTGTGCTGGGTAAGGAATATATCATGTGGAGATACGGCCGGGCAAAGCGCATTAACTCAAATCGTCACGGTTGCATGAAGCCTGGGAGCCCGGTGTTTCCAGGGTTTTGGAGTGGAGGCCGCTGGGAGGCCACGGGGAGCAGGTTTCTGCTCTGAGCAGCACCCTTCTGGCCGGGAGGGTGCGGTGGGTGCCCGCAGTGTTCTCCAGCTTGTGTGTGTCTTCCGGGCATTTGGGCATTTTATTCTTTCTTGTCGTGGTAACTTCCGTGTCTGTCCCACGCCGGGAATGTGCGCGTTGCACGCTGCCGTCCTGTGCAGTCGTCTTTGCTGCCCTCAGGACACACGCAGTTTTTGCTGAGAGTCTTCACTGTGCTCCGGGTCCTGGAGCAATCCCGAAGTCTCAGCCGCTCCTGCCTTGTGGCTGATCCAACTGCATCCTGCTTTCCCGCCTACCTGTTCCTACTCAAAACGTCTGTTGTCTGCGAAGTCTGTGTGCGTTGTGTGGAGTCTGGGTCTTAGCTTTTGCCTGCTTCTCGTGGTCCTAAAAGAGCAGATTGGGTTCTGACAAATCAGTCCAGCGCGTGTGGTTGGGTGAGGGTGTGGGTTGAATCATGGCAGTGTTCTCTGGGGAGTCCTCGCCCAGGGACAGGTGTTTGTGTGTTCCTGTGATACCCCCAGTGGCGGGGCCCCTGAAGCTGACCTCCCCGCAGGGGCAGGGCTGCATCCTTCCCCCCCGGCTCCCTGGGAGTGCTCCAGGTCCAGAGCTCCCGGCCCCACCCTGTCAGACGTCAGACCTGCCTCTGCCCGTCCTGCACAGTGCCCGGCACATCCCCCAGCATCCTGCTGGTCCTCAGCGTCCACATCCCAGAGAGCGTCAACCCCACACCAAAGGTGTACGAATGTCGGGAAAGGAGAGAAGAGATGTGCCCCTCCTTGTTCTGGGGGCAGACCAAGACCTGCTTTACTCAGTCAGAGAATGGTCCAAGACGCCCACGCCGAGGAGACCGTGAGGGTCGGGGAGACTGCGGCTGTGTTTGTGGGGCCCGTCCCTTTACCACCCTGATCTGCAGCCAGCCCAGCCTTTCAGATATGCAAGTGCACTTGCTCCAAATCAGAGAAAGGGAGGAAAGATTTGATGGCATGGTCTCAGCTGGGCTTTATTTTTTGAAAAGCACTACCATGCATATTCATACATTTTTAAATCATTTAAGTAATTAGTCTAAGTGAGAGCTGCCTGGGTGCAGTGAGTGGAATCTGAAATCAGCTTTTTTGTTTGGTAATTTCTCCAGCAGCTTCTATCAGTTAACTCATAAAGGCCGCTGAACAGAAAGGATCAGAGCCGGAGGCTGGCGCACATCGCAGACTCAGATCCTGTGCGTTGTGCTCATTCCATCCACAAGGTTAAGGCCTCAACTCATTAAGCTTCTCTCTTTCTTGTCAGAAAGCTGTTAACAGTCTTTCTCTGCTAAACTAGTGAAGTGGGAAACACCTATTTGCATTTTAATGATTGGTTCTCTTGGAGGGAGCTAGTTGGATACAGACGGAATAATTAGCATTGTCTCAGATGATAATATCCGTCAGGCAGTGAGACTAAGAGCAAAGTTTATGGGGTGCTGGAGACCTCAGGATGTGACGAGTGAGGATCCCTGCAAAGGTGTGGCCTGTTTTGCAGAGAACATAAATTTGTAATTGTACATAACATGTAGATCGCAGTTTCAGTATGTAGATTTGCTTATGCTTTCTACCTTGCATGGTTTCTGAAATTAGGACGACTATGATTTTGAGAGGAAAATGTTTAATGGAATTCGTTGTTAATTTATTGGTATCTTTCTTCCTACCAAGAATGTACAGACAGGTAACTCTGAGGGGGGGGGGGGTGCTGCAAGATGGAGGAGCTCGTCACTCGACCAGAATCACCTGCCATTTGCAGGGATACGCTCACCAGAGTGTTCTGCCAAACTAGAGACCAATTAGAAAAGTTTAAAATCTACTAAGAGCAATCTTGTTATAATGGTTTGCTACAGGACTTCGTGGTAGGACTGTCTCAATGTGTGTTGTGTTCTTTGTGGTTCTTGTCGTCTTTCCAATGTTGGAGTGATATTATCTAGCAAAAAGATCATTTTGCTAGTTTATCTTGACACTGCAAGCATCTCTGAAGGTTTCACATGATATAACCAATCCATTTAATATAGGAAAATAATTTAAGAGTATATGATACTTTTCAGACTTTACTGACAGATGCATAGCACAGCACTTGCTTTCCAACTAGACCACAGGGAATATTATGGTAGAACCACAGACGTAAATTCAGGGATGTGCCCATTTGTGTACGTTTTGATGGCTCGAGTTGCCCTCCTAGCAAATAGATTTTCTAATGTGGGAAGACAGATAATGGTGCCTGGAAGTGTTTAGGAAAACTTATTTGAGATCCCTTACAATGTAATAACAGTATCTTACATCTGTGTTATTTAACCCAATTAAAACTAAGGAATAAAATAAGCTATTATAATATAAATTTGGTACAAAGGAATAATGCTCCAAAATGTTAGGATGGATTTTAGCATGAAGGATTTTTCATAATAGATGCCTTAAGATTATAACTTCAAAAGAAGTAGACTGTTTATGGAGGCATCAACATATATTGGGGTGTTTGGAAAATGTTATTTGTAGAAATTCTGGTTGTAAAGCAAAACTCAGGTTCAAAAAAAATCACAAAAAGGTTAAGATAAGAGACTTTCATTTTAAACCTGTTTTGTTTTGTTTTGGTTTTGGTTTTTACTTTGATCATTTCAGGACACAAACTGCATACTGCTCTTAGAATTTGGGGCAGACTCTTATATATCGCTACAGATAGAAGGAACCCCAGCTACCTCTTCTCTTCCTCACTCATGAGTAAGAAAAAATGGCAAATGTCTCCTGTATTTACTGGCATTGTGTTCTTGGTTTTTCTAATACAAGTGTTCAAGATTTTCCTCACAAATGACTCTAAAGGATCTAAAACTTCCATACTGTTTTTGCTCCTTAACTGAGTAGGTGTCATCCTGAGGTTTTAAGGTCTCTCAGCGATTGGGGAAGAATAGGAAGGCTGCTTTTTAAAGCCTGGGCATCGTGGGTTTGGGAAGAAGCCTTTCAGCCCCACCTCCACTCTCACAGAAGTGGAGGGCATCCGTGCTTCACCTACAGCTTCTGCCCCTCTCGTTTGGAGATCAGACCTTGTTAATTATATGCTTTGGATAAAAATGGTCTTTTCTGTTTGCTATTCTTGGAGGTTTGTGGTAGATAACCAGCATTTATTAAGTTCTCAACATGTGCCAGGCACTCTAGAAAAAATTAGCGTTGCTTAGGAACTGAAGAATTCAACTGGCTTTTGAGAGAAAACAATTCCATTCCAACCGATCTGTCTTCTGGGACCTTAGGATGGTTAGTGTTTTAGTACAAATCAGAAAATATTGTGGAGGATACAAGAAGGAAAACCGTTGGTCTTAAAAGGCCAGGATGGAGGGCATCAGAAGGTTCTGCTCCTCCCACTGTGAGGTCATGAAACAGCTGGGTGTCATGGTTGCTTTTGGTGCAAACCTGAGCTTGGGTGAAGGAAAGGCAATCATCAGGTTCCCCAGAATAAAGAAAGACTTTTAAACCAGAGGATAGGCAAGATTCAAGGCCACATTAGCTGCTGAGACATAAGCCCCAGAAGGACTTATGGGGGGATACTCTGGCAGGTGTGGGATGTGGGAGCACCTGCAACCATGCCTGTGGGAGGTGCTGGGACTCTGTCCCCGAAATGAAACCCAGAATCTCAACGTGTTCCCCCATGTGTGAGAAAAAGACTAGAAAACACTGACCAAGAGAGTATAAAGAAAGCTGGTCACATTTCCAGGGTTATGGGTAGAATATAAAGTCACCAGCAAGAAACACATGCTGGAGGCATGGGTAATGAACGTGAAAATTGTTCCCAAATCAATTAGGATGCTATCAGAACCCGAGGGCTGTGGCAGAATCAAAATCACACATTATCTACAGAATCTTTGACAACATAGGACTCCCCCTTTCCTAAAAAAGACAATAAAAGATTATAACCCATATAAAGACATTTCAAGGTGATGAGTACACATGGCAGGAGACTAAGCAAGCGAGCGCCAGAAATAGTGGCTTGCACAGATACTGGGTGTGTGGAAAATTACTAACTTGGTGTTTAAAAGGAAAAGAAACCATAATGAAATAACTATCTAGTATGACAAAAAGACAGATTAAAAAACAAACAGCATATCCAAAGCCAAGAAATGTCATTTAAATTCATGACTGTGTCCATCTATCATAAAGCAGATTAGACAGAGCTGAACAGAGAATGAGCAAACCAGAAAACAGATATGAGGATATTACCCAGAGTTTTGCATCAAAATCCTGAGGGTGACATGAGACACAAATGAAGAAGCATGGGGGATGCCCTGAGAAACACAAGCCCGTGTTTGCAGATAAATGAGACACTGAGTCCATAGTCTCTCATGGTTCATTTGGACTCTGAAAAACAGACTGAGGGCTCTAGAGGGGAGGGGGTGGGGGATGGGCTAGCCTGGTGATGGGTATTAAAGAGGGCACGTTCTGCATGGAGCACTGGGTGTTATGCACAAACAATGAATCATGGAACACTACAACAAAAACTAATGATGTCGTGTATGGTGATTAACATAACATAATAAAATTTAAAAAATGTTAAAAAAAAACGAGACACTGAGGAGAACAGAGGACAGGCATTGCTCAGAAGGAAAGGCTGAGATTTATTTTAGAACTAAAGAAATCTTTTGTGCCTTTTTGATCTAAAGACTCCTGATGCTAAAACTAAGTAAATAAAAACACATGCACATCCAATGAAGTGAAACTGTGGAGTATAAGAGACAACTTAATATCCTCAAAGAGAATGTACAGATTATTTATGGTGCAGTGACTCCCAGAGGCTTCTCATCATGAAAACAGGTGCTGGACGGCTTTGCAATAATACCTCAGAATTGCTGAGACGATGTAGGGGGACAAGGAGGACATGAGAAAACAGCACCTGTTCAATGTAAAGTGGAATAAAAGAGAAGGGGAGAGACGGAGACCAAAGGAAGAAAGTTTCAGGTAACGCAAAATACAGGATGGAAATGCCTCCAGGATTGTTATAGATAAATGAAGTCACTATTTAATGAAAAAAGGATACTCTAAGAAGCCAAAGCAATCATCTACTTTAGAATAGACTTGAAATATGGAAAGCAAAAAAGTAAACTGAGGATTGCAAGGAGAAACTGACAGGTCCCAAATCCTGCTAGGAGACGGCTTATCTGCACGCACAGGGTCCAGCGGGGCAAGTCAGTCGCACCAGGTGGGAGCAGAGGACTCTCAGAGTGGCTCCTTGGGCCTGGGCATCCTGGATGGGAGCACAGTGTGCTGTCTGCTCAGGGACTCTGGCCAAGTTCCGAACGTCTACCTGTTCATGTGCATGCAGTTCTTTTATACTTGTGGCTTATGGGACATTCCAGCAGGTGCTTACACAAACCACCCAAGATTTACTGGAAATGTTTGCAGAAATCTAGGACCCTTTTGGTTTCAAGATGGGCACAGATTCACATGTTCTCTTGGTGGAGGGTGTGAAGCAAGAAGCAGCTTCTCTGCTGTCCCCTTTGTGGGGTCCCCAAAAGTTTAGAGAACCCAGCCTCCTTGCTCAGCTGTGAACATCTGCTCCCCTGTCATGTTCTATTGTTTCCTGCTTCAGATGCTGGCAGAGCCCCTCACTGTCCACCACAGGCATCCCACATTCAGAGTCTTTCGTAAATGCCACAACTTCCCTTCCTGCCCACATTTAACCACAGGCCACACATGCCCCCTGTATTTGGGTCCCCATCTGAGGACTTTGTGCTCCATGAGCACTTTCTGGACTTGGAAGGATTTACAGCAGTGTGATGGGCACAGCAAGGGGGTAGTGCATGGGGACCACGTGCGCGTGTGTGTGTGTGTATGGACACATATGTGTCT